CAGTGCCTTCAGTTCTTTGTCCATGGCTTCACGCCATTTTTCCCTGTGTTCCCCCCCCAGAGCCTGCTGAACCGTCGCACGCTCCTTAGGAACGCCGGCGCCATGGACTGCGGTGACGAGTCCAAGGATTTGCAGCCCAGTCTGTGAGTATCGAGGGAGTTCTGGATCCTCGGGATAAGCTGCTTCGTCTCCTGCTTCTGGGTCGGGTATGAAATTGGGCCCTACCCTTTCTGCTTCGTTGGTGTTGACTGTTGCAGGTGTTACGTAACCGGTCTCTGCGAAATGATAGAAGACTTCAGCGTTGTTACTTTCGCGGGGATTATCCTCATCCATGGGCACGTCGACGGAGCAGTATGGGAGAGGTCCGGCTTCCTCCGAGGCGTTGTTGACGTTCTGTTCATCCCAATCCGCTTCGTCCGCTGCTGAGGCGAAGGCTCGGTCACCACGAAAGCCACCTGTGGGGTCCTGATTCTCGTGCAAGTTGGCGAGGTACGTCTGAAGTGTGAGTCTTTCGTAGAAGATCACGTCACGTGCTGCTACTGTTTCCTTTGTGTCGACGTCGAAGATTCTCCATGCGTTGTAATTTTTCTCGATGCCGAGGTGTAGTCCCCATTGTGCCCGTTGCGAAAATCTTCCCGCTCGTGCTTCTGGGGGCCTGTACTGTACCATGCACCCGAAAACTCGTAACATTTTTGTGCTGCCCTGCTTCCCTGTCCACAACAGATGTGGTGACGCGTTGTTCGGGAGTGACGACGACGAAAGCAGGTTGTGCAGCATGACAGCGTGGTCCATTGCTGCAGGCCACTGGTGGTTGGGAAGTCGCATGCCATGCAACAGCTTGCGCATGCTGTTCTGCAGAGTCCTGTTCATCCGTTCTGCGACGCCTTGCTGTTGATGGGCGTAGGGAAGGGAGAGGAGTTGCTTGATTCCCCTTTCCGCCAGGTACTGCTTGAAGCGCTGAGAGGTATACTCTCCTCCTCCGTCTGACTGAAAGCTTTTTAGTTTAGCTCCCGATTCTCTCTCTGCTACTGGTAGCCAGGCTGCGAAGGCTGCGAGTGTCATGTCGCGGCTGGGTAGGTTACGATGCCAGACGTATCGAGTGGCGGCGTCGATGAAGGTGATGGTGTAGTTATAGGTGACTTGTCCTGGTTCACGATTGTAGAGTATGTCGCTGTAGACCTTTTCGAGTGGTGCGTATGCTGGAGCGCTCGGGTTGTGATGTGGAGTAAACGGTCGATGAGGTAAGTCAGCTTCGGGACATATGAGACAAGTCCTTCGTGCCTTCTGGAGTTCTCTGCCGTCGGGTAGAAGTAGAGAGTCTTTGTCAATGACTCCTGCTCTTATCGTGTTATTCAAAACCGTGTTGCTTGGATGTCCTGTGCGTGCATGCCAGATCTCTTCAGAGGCGCGGTGTCCGGGTGAACGCTGGTATGCGTCGGAGTTGGAATAAAAACTGGCGACGAGGTTGGCGCTTCGGTGGACTTCACGTTGAGTCGGATTCAGCTGTTGCGCTGGTGTTGGTGGTGCTTCGTCGACTGTGACTGGTGTCGTTGTCCCTGCTGCTGATGTTGTTGCTGCTGCCGTTGATATTGTCTCTGTCGGTGCTGATGTTGTCTCTGCTGCTGCCGATGTTGTCTCTGCTGCTGCCGATGTTGTCTCTGCTGCTGCCGATGTTGTCTCTGCTGCTGCCGTTTGTTGAATGGTTGCTAATGCTCGTGTTCGTTCTGCTTCAGGAATGGTGTGGGAGTACCAGAAACCTCCCGGGCTGAAGTCGGGGTCGAGATCCGGAGGGTGTGTCCAATCAGCAAAGTTCACAATGGCGTCGCTGTCTGCAGTCCCGAGGTCGGGGACGAAGTCGAGGACGAAGACGTTGTTCTTCAGCACTGCTTTCCCGATGTAGAGACCGCCTCTCCCGTGGTAAAGCTTGAACTCCTGGGTTGTGCTGTCGGCTTCAAGATGAATTCCTTTCGCCATTAACTGGCTCACACTCAGTAAGTTATAACCGAGTCCTTCAGCGATGAGTACCTTAGACATGTTCAGTATGACGTTTGTTTCTCTTGACTGAAGTTGTACCACACCCTGTCTTCGTGTGCGCAGGTTTTGATTGTTGGCAACCGTGATAATCACTTCTCGTTGGAGTCGATGTTCGCGTTGGACGAAACGCCCGGACGAGCACATGTGTTGCCCGCAGCAACTGTCCAGGAACCAGGTGTCTTGGCCGGATGGTTCGCTTTGAGCGATGGCGGCGTAAGTCGGATTTGGATGGAGTGATTCGCGACGAGGCGTCCTGTTGTCGAGCTCCTCTTCCGGTGAGTAATGGGGTGGTGACTCTGTTACGCAAGAGTCGTTTATCTTGACCATGCAGTTGATTATATTTCTTGCTCCTTGTGCAGGTTGTCCAGTTGAGGACGTTGGAGCTTGAATCGCGGTTGTCGAGCTTGCTTGTGTCGAAGCAACTTGGGTGCTTGAAGGCCGCAGTTGTCGCTGTGGTGTTATCTGACGAGACGGGCAGTGCGTGCGTGGGTGTCCTGATGTCTTGCAGATGTGACAAAAAGGAGGTACTAGCTTCGGCTGTTGTTGTCGATTGTTGAAGTTGTTGTGTCGTCGCTGAGTATGGAAGGCAAACTCCGGTGCTGATGCTCTTTTCTTGTGTCTTTCTTCTTGCAGGTCCATATCCTGCTGTTCGGTGTGAATTTCGGCGCAGAGTGCCGCTTCGGAGATCCTCCCGTGTGCTCGGAGAATTGCTTTGGTGGCGCGCCACTGAGGACCGAGGCCACCGATGACGACTGTTACGAAGGCGTCTTCAAAGATTGACCCTCCGCATCGAAGAAGCTTGTCGCGCAATTCGCGACATCGGCTGATATACGCCAGCCCTTTTTCTCCTGGTTTCATTTCGACTGTTGTCAACTGCGCCATTAACCTGCTCTGGTTTACACTGTCTGTTGCCTGGTACAGGTTCTTCAGATGGCCGTACGCGAGTTCTGCCGAGTTGCCGAAGTTCCGGTAAGAGCGAATGTTCTGCTGCTGGGTTGGTGTGATGTTTCTCAGTAGGATTGTATACGCCATCATGGATTGATACGTATACTGCTGCTTCTCATATTGTGTCCCGTTTGCTGGATATTGCAGGGATCCGTCGAAGAAGCCGAGTATCTGCGCGCCCTCCATCATCAACTCGAATTCAAAGGACCAGGTAAAGAAGTCCTTTCCGTCGAAAGGTCTTGATGTCTGTAGTTTCAGAACATGCGCGAACTGCGACTGCACTTGTAAAGCATCCATTGGTTTGTCTTGCGTAGGTGGAGGTTGAGGCAGGAAGCTGATCGATCCGCGTTCGTACGGGGCGAAGGTGGGTTGTTGCTGTTGATTCCCTCGCGCGTATGACGACCCGTCAAGGCTCATGGGTGCCGCTCCGTTGTTGCTGTTGTGTGTCTGTGCAGGTCCCGACTGTTGGTGTTGCTCGTAGAAGGACATGAAGGAGAAGAATTTCTCCATCATGTTCTGGTCGAAGTCAGAAGGGTGATTCGTGGGCGTCTCGGTTGACGTTCCCCTTGGTCTTGCTGTCGTACCTTCCTCTGTCTGCAGGCCAGAGGCTGGTGGTGGAGTGGGAGTGGTGCCCGAGGAGCCATTAGGAGAGCTCCTTTCCTTGTTTGTTGCCATGTCTTGAAAATGATTTTAAAGGAATTTCAGAGTTTTCCCCTGTCTGCTCTCATACCATGTTGGGCTGAGAAGCCCTTAGGATCTTTGCAGGGGATGACTCTTGGGTAGAGACTTGTAATAGCGGAAGGGTTTAATGAAGATTGTGAACCGACCTTGCACTGGTGTGTGAGAGCAAAGTAGATTAAATTAAACAAGCAAATACAAGGATTTATATAAGAGTACAGGGAATACGAATAGATAGATAACTGTATTGCTGTTGCGGTTCGATATAGTGCGACTCGGGCAACTGCTCTGTAACGAGTCAGTTGTGTGTCCTTAACTGTCGCGCTGTAATTGTCGAGTCAAAGGTCGCTGACCTTTGACTTTCTTGTAACCTCCAGGCGGTTACTCTAACCTCCGAGGTTGACTCGATGCTTCGATTGGGACTGCTTCGATTGGTGCCTTGGACTTTAACACGACAGAAGCGCACTTAAGACTTGTTGTTTCCAACACCACTTAGAGTACATGGCTAGTCTAGGTCGTTTCGTATTCCCCTGTACTCTTATTTATCGAATGTACTTGCACGGTTTTACTATTTCAGCCATTTTTATTCCACTCTGATCCGTGGTCACTATCTTTTACTGCAACAATCTAATTCTACGAACCGTCCTGAGGTGATCCTAGGCACGATCTACCTTCTGATCGCAACATACTCCCTACTGTGTGCCTCACGCTTAACATGCATAGTGTACGTATAATTTGACATTTATGCGTATGATGATTCAAAATTCATAATTTTCCTTCTGTAACTTGAGGCACGCGCCCAAACCATTTCTACTTCTGCTTTCAAAAAGTGCTAAAGAATCTGAATATTTATTTCAAAAACCGTTGGCCTGCGATTTAATACCAATTTGATAAGTTTCTATACAACCCTACCACTAGAATGGATGCTGTTTTTAAAAGTAATGTATTGTAAGACACCTCTTGGCCTGCCTACTAAAGATTCGTTCAATACATGTTTTTAAAGAGGGTAGTTGTAGTGGCCGAAGGACCAACATTCAAAGCCCTAGAGTAACCCCTAGTTGTTCGAGCCTCAGACGAGCCTCAGCTGCCCAGCCCGTTTTGGAATAATTAGCCTACCAGAATTTGCGCCCGACCAACGGTCGGTTTTTTTAAGCGCGCTGGCGCGGGCGAAGAAGGCCGCGGGCAGCTCCCGGCACACGGGGAATGCTGGAAACGCGCGGAGTGCGGGGAATGCCAGGAAAGAGAATGCGGGGAAAACGGGGAAGGAAGGTACTCGATCGGGGGGGGTGAGCGTAGGAGGGATGCGGAGGAGCACTAGAGGCGGGGCGCGGGGCGGGAACACAATGGGGGGAGTTGGCGCGACGGGGGGGATCGGGAAGAAGCGGAAGCGCGGGGGGAAACAGCAGATGGGGACAGCACGGAAGGCGGTCGGAGGGCGGGCAGGCAGCGCAGTGAGCGCGCGCAGGGGGGACGTAAAGGGCGCGCAAGGAGGGAGCGGTGGGGGGACGGTCGCGCTGGGGCTGGGAGTGAGCGCGGGGGGAACAAAGAGGGATGCGGAAACGGGAAAGGGGAAGGCGGAGAAAGGTGGCGTGATCGGCGGAGAAGAAGGGGAAAGGGTAGCGGAGGGGAAGGGGGAAGGTGTGGGGACGGCGGGGAAAGAGGACGAGGGGGACTTGAGGGCAAGAAGGGGAGAGGGGGAGGAGAAGGCGGCTGGTAAAAGAGGAAAACTGGCGGAAACGGAGTCAGATGGGGCAGAGAGGGGAGAGACAGGCAAGGGTCGACAGGGAGTGGGGGAAGAAGAGGAGCGGGAGGAGGAGGGAGGGAAAGACGAGGGCGAAGAAGAAGGGGATAGAGAGGAGGGAGGAAGGGTGGTGGTGATGAGTGACGCGAGTGGGGAGGAGGGCAGCAGCAGGGGCGAGGGCAGCGGCAGTGGGTCGCTGGGTCTAAACTCTGGATCAGATGGGGGGGAGGAGCGATCGGATGATGACAGTGACGCTGTGAGGATGGGGGAGGAGAGTGGTGCGAGTGAGAGTGAGAGTGAGGAGAGTGACAGTGAAGGGAGTGACAGTGAAGGGAGTGAGAGAGAGGGGAGCGAGAGTGAGGATGAGGAGGAAATGGAGGAGGCAGAGGAGAGGGGTGGCAGCAAGGAAGGCGAGGGTCAAGAGGCGGATGGGGCGGGGGTGGGCGCGGCAGGAGAGGAGTGGTTCCGCCACGTGGTGGTGGGCGCGGATGGGGAGGCGGAAGGGGAGGGGGAGGGCCAGAGGGACGCGGAGGGGGGAGGCGCAGGCACCAAGACAGTGCTGAATGCGGGGGCAGCGACGGCGAAGGCGAGGAAACGAGCACTGAAGGCTGAGCATAAGAAGCGAAAGGAGAAGGTGGGGCAGGCCAAGGCAGACAAGCTGAGAGCGAGAACTCAACGAGCGGAGGAGAGGCGACGGCGGGCGGAGAAAGAGCGGTTTGAGGCAGAGCAGAGGGATGCAAAGCGGCGGAGAGTGGTGCGGGAGCAGGAGGCAGCGCAGGAGAGGCGCGAGGTGAGGCAGGAGAGGCGCGTGCAGGGCATGCAGAAGGCTCTTCTGAAGCTGCTCAAGAAGCTGGCTGCTGGTGGCGGGGGAGCGGGCGGTGTGGGGAGAGGGGGCGGTGGGGAGAAGGGTGGTGGGGACCCGGAGTGGGAGGTGGTGAGTCGCGTGCATGCGATGGCGCATGGTGTGGCGGATGGCAGCTTGGAGAAGGTGCTGCTGGGGGAGGGCGAGACTAAGGGCAAGGGCGCGCAGCGGCTGCCGCTGCAAGCCAGGATCCAAGTGAACGCGTGAGTGGCGGTGGTGATGGGTGAACGTGTGAGTGGGCCTGGTGGTGGTGGGTGCACTTGTGAGTGGTCGTGGTGGTGAGTGAACGTGTGAGTAGTGTGGTGGTGGTGGGTGAACGTGTGAGTAGTGTGGTGGTGGAGGGTGCATGTGTGACCGGCAGTTGCTGGCCGAATGGTTCATAATTCAAGGGTGCGGATGATTGGCAAATGTGGTCATGTGCTGTAATCTGGGCAAATGTGGTCATGTGCTGTAATCTGGGCAAATGTGGTCATGTGCTGTAATCTGGGCAAATGTGGTCATGTGCTGTAATCTGGGCAAATGTGGTCATGTGCTGTAATCTGGGCAAATGTGGTCATGTGCTGTAATCTGGGTAAATGTGGTCATGTGCTGTAATCTGGGTAAATGTGGTCATGTGTTGCAATCTGGCCAAATGTTTTCCTTCCTGCATAGCAGCAGGAAGAGAACTCCCCACTTGGACCGCACGGTCCTTGCCATCCTGCGTCCTGAATTATCTCTGTTCCCACACTCTGTCCTTGCGCCCTTCCTTTGAATCCATTCCCCATCGCCCTTTTGAATCTCATCCCACCGCGCAGTACCATTCGTTCGTTGCCTCTTTCCGGACGAGGCAGTGGTGGTGGAGGGGCACGTGCGTTATCTCTGTTCCTACATTCTTTTCCCCATCCCATCCTCCTCCAACCCCACTGCACAGCACCGCTCGTTCCGCCACGGCCATTCTCTTCCCGGACGAGGCAGTGGTGGTGGAGGGGCACGTGCACGTCACACTGCTGCACGGCGCTGCCTCTCTGCACGGCTTTGCCCTGCCCCTGCACCGCCCCACCGCCCTCTCTGCTGACGCCACCCTCTCCTCTGCCGTGCTGCTCCACGTCGCCCCGCCTGCCCAGCATGGCCCCCCTGCTGCCCCTCCTACCGCTGCTGCTCCTGGTTCTGCTCCTGCGGGCGGTGCTGCTGCTGTGAGTGTGGGTGCTGCTGCAGCTTCTGAGCCTGCTGCCGCTGCACAAACTGCAGTGGCTGCAGTGACTGGTGAGGCGGGGGCTGGTGCTGCAGACGCAGCACAGGGGGGGAAGGGAGGGGATGGGGTGGTGGCAGTGGGGAAGGGCGGGGGAGGGGCGGAAGCAGGGGCAGGGGGGAAGGGCGCGAGGCTGACGAAGAAGCAGAAGAAAGAGGCAGCCAAGGCAGCAGCAGAGGCGGAGGCGGAGAGGAAGCGGCGGGAGAAGGCGGAGCGGGGGTGGCGCACAGACGTGCAGGGTATGGCTGTGGTGCTGTTCCAGTCCTGGGGACCCGGTCAGCTGGGGTTGGGTGCGGTGGGAGAGGGTGCTGTGGGGGATGGTGAGGTGGAGCGAGGGAAGGATGGGAGTAAGGGAAAGAAGGGGGAGGCAGTGCGGGCGGAAAAAGGGGGTGATGATGTGACGGTGGCGGCAGAGGCGGCCAAGGATTGGAGAGTCACGGCCAACTTCACGTTCCGACTGCTGGTGAGATAGGGGGTGGGGAGGGGTTGGTGAGAGTGGTGAGAGTGGGAGAGTGGTGAGTGAGAGAGGAGGGCGAGAGTGGGGGAGCGGGTTCTCCGTGGGGGAATGTGGCTGCTAGTGAGAGGAGGGTGGTGGTGAGCGAGTGGGATGATAATCTGTCACCACCATGCCCTTTCACCACCATGCCCTGTCACCACCATGCCCTGTCACCACCATGCCCTGTCACCACCATGCCCTGTCACCACCATGCCCTGTCACCACCATGCCCTGTCACCACCATGCCCTGTCACCACCATGCCCTGTCACCACCATGCCCTGTCACCACCATGCCCTGTCACCACCATGCCCTGTCACCACCATGCCCTGTCACCACCACCATGACCCCTCCTATTGGCTTCATCCCCTTACCATCGCTCTATCGTTCTCCTTATCCGCCTTCTCTTGCTGCCCTCTCCCCCCAAACCCTGCCGGAGGCTGACGGGGTGGGGCGGCTGAAAACCACTTCAGATGGCATTCCTGTGCGGCGTCCACACTTACAGTGTGCCCGTCCTCTGCCTCTCATGTCCCTCCCCCTCACTTACACTGTGCCCAACTGTCCCCCTCATGGCACCCCCACTCCCCAGGAGCCGAGCGCACCGCTGCTGAGGCTGAGAGATGTGGGACGGCTAAGGAAGCCACTCGGGCGGCGTTTCTGTGCGGGCTGCACACTCACAGAGTGCCTTCCTTCCCTTTGCCTCACCACCACCGCTCCCCTCTCCTTTCCACCTTCCCCACCACGCCGCTGCTGAGGCTGATAAATAAATGCGGGGCAAATGAGGAAACCCCAAATTTTGCACGGGCTGCACAGTCACTGTATGCCCCCGCTCCGCCTCTCTACACCCCCACCCATCTCCGCTTCCCCTCTCCCCCACCCCCAGGAGCCGAGCAAGCTGCTGCTGAGGCTGAGAGATGTGGGCCGGCCAAAACAAATTGCTACAGGCGGCCTTTTTGTGCAGGCTGCCTGCATACCCACAGAGTGCTTCCCCTCTGCCAATCTACACCACGCCTCCCCCACCCATCTCCTCTCCCCCCACTGCCACTCCCCCAGGAGCCGAGCACACCGCTGCTGAGGCTGAGAGATGTGGGGCGGCTAAGAAAACCGCTCCAGGCGGCCTTTCTGTGCGGGCTGCACACTCACAGAGTGCCCCCCCGGGGGCATGGGCAGGGCGGGCAGGGGCTAGGGGGTGGCGGGAGCGGGGGTAGAGCCAGGGGGAAAAAAGGGGGAAAGCGGTATGAGGGGGACCGTGGGGCTTGGGAGGCGTTCTCGTGGACCCCGCCTAAGGGGAAGAAAGGGGGCGAGGGCGGGGGCGGGGGCGGGGGAGGGGGAGGGGGAGGGGGAGGGGGAGGCGGAGGGGGAGATGGAGGGGGAGGGGGAGGCGGAGGAGGGGGAGGGGGAGGAGGAGGAGGAGGAGGAGGAGGAGGAGGAGGAGGAGGAGGAGGAGGAGGAGGAGGAGGAGGAGGAGGAGGAGGAGGAGGAGGAGGAGGAGGAGGAGGAGGAGGAGGAGGACAGCAAGCGGCAGGGCCATGGAGGCAGGAGGGGCGGGTGCTGACGAACTCAGAGATGAAGGGGTGGGAGGCGGTGCGGTGCGATGTGGTGAGCCGCGAGTGGGAGGAGGCGGGGCGCTCTGTGGTGGGCGGGAGGAAGCGCAGCAAGAGGAGGGCGCGCGGGGAGGTGCGGGTGCCCATAGTGATGGTGATGGGTGGCGTGAACACTGGCAAGTCAACGTTTGCCAAGTTCCTAGTCAACCACATGCTGGGCAGGTATGGTATGGGTGGTCAACCACATGCTGGGCAGGTATGGGTGGTCAACCACATGCTGGGCAGGTATGGGTGGTCAACCACATGCTGGGCAGGTATGGGTGGTCAACCACATGCTGGGCAGGTATGGGTGGTCAACCACATGCTGGGCAGGTATGGGTGGTCAACCATATGCTGGGCAGGTATGGGTGGTCAACCACATGTTGGGCAGGTATGGGTGGTCAACCACATGTTGGGCAGGTATGGGTGGTCAACCACATGTTGGGCAGGTATGGGTGGTCAACCACATGCTGGGCAGGTATGGGTGGTCAACCACATGTTGGGCAGGTATGGGTGGTCAACCACATGCTGCTTCGCATGTGGTGAAGCGACCGACCTTTGCCATATGTGCTGCGTGTGGGCATGCATGCACGCTTTCACTTGGATCCCTTTCAGCTACTGCTTCCCCGGTTCTCTGCCACTCCTCTCCTCACCACCTCTCCCCCGCTTTCCGCTGCTCCCCCACCTGCTCCCAACGTTTCCATTCTCCCCTCACCCTCCACCTCCCAACGTTTCCTGAACATGGACGTGGGGCAGCCCTCTCCCCCCCACCACTTCTACCCCTCCCCCGTCTTCCTCCCGCCCTTCCCTCCCGTTCTCCCCTCACCAGGCACCCCTGTGTGGCTTTCCTCACCAGGCACCCCTGTGTGGCTTTCCTCGACATGGACGTGGGACCGCCCGAATTCCTTTGACTGCTCACCGCCCCTTCCACTCCTCACCCCAACTCCCACCCCTCCCCACCGTCCACTCTCCTCCTCCCATCAGGCACCCCTGTGTGGCCTTCCTGGACACGGACGTGGGGCAGCCCGAGTTCACTCCACCCGGCATTGTCTCGCTGCACCTCCTCTCGCACCCCGTCTTTGGTACTTCCTCTTCTCTCCTCTCCCTTCCTCTCCTCCACCTCCCCTTCTCTCATCCTCCTCTCCCCCATCCTCTCGCACCCGCCGTCAGTCCCTCCTTTCGTACCTTTGACTTGTACTCCTCTCGCCATGCTGTTCCTCTCAGACTTCTCACGCGTCAGCACACAGCCCACGTACACACCTGCCTTGCCCTTCTCTGATTCACATCCTGCCAGTCATGCCTTCTCACACCGCCCTCCCTTGGCACATCTCCATGCATTCTCACCACCACACCCACACCGCAGGCCACGTAGCCATGCATCCGAAAACGCCCCAGGGAGCCTACTGCACGGCGACATCACCCGTCCCTTTCTCCTGCATCCACCCCTTCTTCCCCCTTTCTCACTCCCAATCGCACTCACTGCAGGCCACCCCGCACTGCAGCAGCGCACCCTCCTAGCAAGCCATCTGTATGGCGACATCAGCCATCCCTCCCCTCCCCTCCTGCCCCCCTTCCTCCATCTTCCCTGCCGCCTTGCTGCCTTCCCTTCCCCTCCACATCACAGGCCACCCTCCACTCCACCAGAGGGCTCCCCTGCTGAGCCACCTGTATGGCGACATCAGCCCTCCCTCCGTCCCTTACCTGCCTGCTTTCTCTCCCACCCACCCACACCACAGGCCACCCCGCCCTGCATCAGCGCACCCCCCTGGCAAGCCATCTGTACGGCGACATCAGCCGTCCCTCCCCTCCTTCCCTGTCCCCTTGCTGCCTTCCCTTCCCCCACCCACACCACAGGCCACCCTGCACTGCATCAGCGCACCCCCCTGGCAAGCCATCTGTACGGCGACATCAGCCCAGGCGGTGACCCTGCACTGTACCTGCGGCAGCTCTTCTCGCTCTACGACTGCTTCCGACTGAACTACTACGATGGGCATGGGGCGGGGGCATTACCACTGGTCATCAACACACACGGGTGGATCAAAGGTGAGTCAATCTCGCTGCCTGACCCCACGCTCTTCCTTCCCTGCCGTCCTGCCCTGCCTCCCTGCTCTTCCCTCCACACACGTCATCTCTGTAGAAACCCTGTTCCTCCCTGCCCTTCCCTTCTCCATCCCCCCTTGCGTTCACTCCCCCAGGAATCGGGTATGATGCTCTGGTGGATCTGATGCGCTACGTGGCGCCCACACACGTCATCTCGCTGCTCGCACCCGACGCTGCGGACAACCTGCCTGCCGGCCACTTCTGGCAGCCGGGGGGGTTCGCCCCCGAGGATATCAACCCCAACATGACGCCCCTGGGAGGCGTGGGGGGCGGTGGCGAGGGCGCCGGGGGGGTGGGAGGGGAGTGGGATGGGGAGGGGGAGGGGGGCGATGTGGGAGGTGCGGGTGGAGGTGCAGGGGTACAAGCTGGGGGAGGGGTTTGGGGGGGGGGGAGGAGGAGGAGATGGGGGAGGAGAGGGAGTGGAAGCAGTAGCAGCATCAGCAGCAGCAGTGCAGGGGGGAGCAGCAGCAGGGGCAGTGGTGCGCACGTCATTAATCACAATCACATCGCTGTCTGCCAGCGCTGGACCTGGCGTGAGGTGAGTCGTGAGTAGGGTGGGAGGGTAGTTTCAAGGCGACTCAAACGTCACATTGCTGTTTATCAGTGCTGGCTGGCTGCGGTCTGAGGGGAGCTACTACCAGGGGTGCGGGAGGTGAGGAGGACCCCCACAGCAACACCTACTGGGTGGCCCATGAGCATCGCAGCCTGCGAATGCTAGCAGCCATCCGCTATGCCCTCTTCCCTATGCCCTCAACCTCCCTCTCCTCTCCCCTCTTATGCCTTCCCCTTCCCCTTTCCTCCCTCCCAGCAACTCCTACCGGGTGGCACACGAGCATCGCAGTCTGCGGGTGCTAGCAGCCATCCGCCATGCGCTCTCTCCCTCCCGCCGCCTCGCCCTCTACAAGCTCGCCCGCCACATTTCCCCCCACCCCGCCCCACCCACTGCCACCGCCCCCTCTTCCACTGCCCCTCCCTCTTCCTCCACCTTTCCATCCTCCTCCGCTGCCCCCCCTGCGTCCTGCCCTCCCTCGCGCCCCTCGCCCGCGCTCCCTACGCCCATCTTCCTGTTCCCGTTTGACGAGCGGTGGGAGATGGCTCGCTGTGCGCGCCTGCTGGCGTGGCGGGCGCCCTTCGAGGTGGACCTGGGGGAGCTGCACGTGGGCTGCGCGCATGGCGAGGTGAGGGGGGTTAGGGGGGCTGATGCAGCTAGGTGAGGGGGGAATAGGGATGTGAGGGCATGGCGAGATGAGGAGGGCTTGAAGGTGGACCTGAAGGACCTGCACGTGGGCTGATGCACGTGGGCTGATGCACGTGACCCGTCAACCGGCCTTGTACCTCTCCCTTCTTAGACTCCCCTCAACTCCTCATTTCTTCCCACTTTTCCCCTGTTGCCCCACGTGATCATCCTCTTCCTCGCCCCCTCCTGTCTCTCCCCCCTTTACATCTCTCTCCTGCCAGCATGCTCATAGCTCTCAACACTTCTATCGTGGGCCTCTGCTCCCCATCCAACACCCTCCTCGCCTCATTCCCCTGCTCCATCCCCTCCCCGTCTCTAACCCCCCTCCTGCCCCTCCCCCTCTCCCGGCAACACACTCATCACCCTCAACGTCCTCACACCCCCCCCTCTCTCTCCCTCCTCCGTACCCAACCCCCCACTTCTTCCCCCTGACCCCTTACCCCCTGCAGCTGTTCCCCGGCAACCCACTCATTGCCCTCATCGTCTCAATTGCCTCCCCTTTTCCCTCCTTCGTACCTCCCACCCTCGCAATCCCCCCCTTTCCCCCCCCTCCCGTGCCCCCGCCCCCCTCCCCGCCACAGCTGTCCCCTGCCAACACGCTCATCGCCCTCAATGCCGCTATCGTCGGCCTCTGCTCGTCCTCCCCTCCCCCTCTCCCCTCCCTGCCGCCTCCGCCCTCCCTGCCCGTTGACCCCTCCGCCTCTGCCCATGCTGCTGCTACTCCAGCAGAAGCGACGCCACCAGCACCACCACCAGAAGCAGCAGAAGCAGCAACTGATGCAGCAGCAGCGGAGATGGACATAGCAACAGACCCAGCTGCAGCAGCAGAGAACAACACATCAGCAGTGCCAGGAGCAGAACCAGGAGCAGCAGCAGGGGCGGCGCCAGGCTTCCCACATGTGGTTTGGAACCCCCAGGAAGCCGCTCTCCTGCCCTGCCTCTCCTTCGGTACTGCCCCACCCCTCTGCTCTCCCACACTCTCCACCACCCTTCATTCATATCATACCATGGCGTGCACTCCCATTGCACCCCTTCCCCCCCCCCCCCCCCCCCCCTCTCTCCTCTTCCTATGTGGATAGATGATATGGTCTCTGCACTCTCACTGCACCCGAATCTCTCTCACCGTCAGTGCTTATGACCGTTATTATGACCCGACTCATCATCACCAGCACCAGACGTGTTCAGGGGCATGGATGGTTGCGGGGCTGTGGTGTGGCGACACATATGCATGCTCTGTCTGCCCTCTCGCTGCTCCATGCACTCTTCGTCCTGCTGCCCAGCCCACAATGCCACCCCTCTTGATGACTGTTCTCATCGTCCCCACCACCAGGCGTGGTGAGGGGGGTGGAAGCCAGCAGGGGAGTGGCACACGTGGTGGCGCCACTACCACTCGCCCGCATGCACCACGTCGACACTCTCCTCATCTCGCACCTCCACCTGCCTTCTCCGCTGCTCCTAGTAAGTTCAATCCTCCTCATTCTGCACCTCCACCTGCCCTCTCCGCTGCTCCTGGTCAGAGCATTCTTGCACCTATTGTTCTGCGTTTTTCCTCACGTACGGAATCATATTGCACATCCACCTGCGTTTCTCCTCAGTCTCGAGAATTCTCGAATGTGACTGGAATGCACCATGTCAACATGCTCCTTTTGCACCATGTCAACATGTCACTTTTGGTAAATTTCAGAAGTTTTACAAATATGCTCCTCCTTTTGCACACTTCCTTCCCCCCCCTGACTCATGCCCCTCCTCTCACTATCACCTTGCACCTTGATTTCTCTCCCACCTCTGTTCTCAATTCTCCTTTCTCATCTCTCCCATCTCACCTCCCCTCTTCATCTTTTCCAGCGCTCTCTCTTGCTCTCCCCTGCCTTTGTCTCCCTCCTCAACCACCCAGTGAACGACCTGGTCTCGCCGTATCTCTGCTTCCACTTTCTTGCCGATGCCCTTCCCAACTTGCTGTGCTCCCGTATACCCCACAACCTACTCCCCCCCATTTTCCCCGCCTCTCTCCCCTCCCCTTCCCCCAACCCCCAGTGCAACGACCTGGTGTCACCGTACCTCTGCTTCCACTCACTTGCCGACGCCACTCTAGGCGCCAAGGAGCTGCCCATTAGGGAGGTCAAGCGGTGAGGTGACGAGCGGTGAAGAAAGGTGACGGGTTGTGATTCGTGAAGCAGCAAGGGGCGTTGAAATATGGTGTGGCAGTGATGATTGCGGAGAGACTGTAATATGGGAGGTGACGAATGGATAGTGTGATATTGGCACTACGCTTGCTCATTGCCTTGTTTGGCCATAAGCGTGTAATGGTAATTCTGGAGAAGGGGACATCTGAAGCTGAAAAAAACATGAATGCCTGCATAAAGAAAACAGAAAACCGAAAGCCTGACATCAAAGTAAATGGCTTCATAAGTTGTCAAGGTTGCGCAAAATTTGATACCGTAGAAGAAATTACAACTGCTGTCAGAATAATGAAGCTTTTAGCACAGATATAGTGAAAGGCTAACTAGGCGGGATCGGCGGAATCGGGAAGGTTGGGTGCTGGGTCCGGGGTTGTCGAAACCCGAAGGCGATGCCAGCAGGCCATCTGATTCAATTTTAGGGACGCAGATCTATCAGATCAGCCACCCACAAGAAAGAAGGCTGATTCGCAGCCTTGACGGAAGGAAATGGCTTATTTTCCAGTGTTACGTAGGGCACATTCTTTCGAGGACACTTGTGTCCCAATCCCATTTTTCTCAAATCGCGGGTGGTAAACTTCTGATACCAGTGTGGTTTCGGTAAACTTTTGAGATTGGAAAGGCTGCATCCTCGCGGTTCCCGTCATGTTCAGGTCTGCCGGAGTGGATGCAAATTTTTTTCCCGCGTGAAATTTGCTACGCCTACGCCAAACTGACATCTGACGATAAAGACTTCTAGGGGCAAGATGAAGAGGAGCATCGGCAGAAGGTCGACTCGCGTGCAGCAAGTTAGGCTTCAGCTTGACGGCGTGGGAGAGGCCCGCATTGGCTTGAAGTCGACAGATGCTTTGCTACCTGGCTGATATGCGCGACGCCACCCTGGAGTTAAGCGGCGGATCCGAATCCCTGCGTCTGGTTGGCTACGCAGATGCCAAAAATGCCGACGACAAGCAGACGCAGAGCAAGCCGAATGGCTACATTTCATGTCTTCGGCGGTGCAGCTCTCTCTTGGACAAGCCGGCAAGTGCGTGACGCTCTCGTCAACCGGGCCGGAGTACACCGATGCCACTAAAGCCAGCAAGGAGGCTCGCCGCCTTCGCTTCCTCCTCGCCAAGTTCCAGCTTCTCAACTCAGGCACACCAACCGTCCTGAACGTGGACAACCAGTCGACCATCGTGGTTACTGAAGGCATAGGGATCAAGTGCAACCTCAAGCAAAAGGAGCATCGCTATATCTGGCTGGTGCAGATGGTGAAACGCAAGAAGATTGCTATGAGTACATCCCGACCACTGAGCAGCCGGTGGAATTCCATACAAAGGATCTGCATTCTTCGGCTTTCAACTGATGCTCCGTCACTGAGCCTAATGATCAGTACGCAAAACTGGTGGGTGACTCATGTACTCGATGACCTGCCTTCGTCCAAACCTCGCGTTCCCTCTCAGCATCCTTGCTCGCATTGTGTCGACAAGGAGACGCTAACCTGTCTAAGATGGGTACTGCGATATCTGGCAAGTACATCAGATATGGGGCTTGTGCCAACTGCGCAGAGACTCGCAGGTCCTCTAAGGGCTAATTATTTAGCATTGGCACATGAGCTGTTTTGTGGAGGTCGATTCGGTCGTCGTGTATAGCCTCGCTGATTGCTGAGGCTGAGACCTATACTGGTTTTATGGCTGCGTAGTAGCTATGTTGGTTGGCCTTCTTGCTCACATACTTAGGCGAGCCACCTTGTTCTGCCCTGGTCTTATTTACGGACAACAAGGACACGATCCTGTTGTATCATGAGCCGAGACAGGAGAGAAGGGTGAAGCATATTTAGACGTGGTACTTCCTGCTGCGTGAGTTGCATGAGCGTCGCCAGGTACGCATTGTCCTTGTGATCAACACTGCAGATATCTTCACCAAGGCATTCCAGCCAGGTGATCATCACACTTTCTGCAAGCATCTTGGTCTTGTTCTGGCATGTCCTCACTTGGTTTAGTCCTTCCTTGCATATCTGATCCTGGTTGTGATAACATAAATATGAACTGGCCTTGTGGCTATTTCTCCTAGAGGCTCGCAGGTTGTACCACCATGGGTTGTATTACATGCCTTGCTTGTTATCGTTGTCCGGTCTTGTAACCGCTAATCTCAGTGGTTGGACTGCATGTTGTTGAGCTGTCCGTCACCTAGCCTATGGTGGTGCGTCCCTTTTTTTTTTGTTAGCTAAATGCTAGGTCGTGTTACTCTATCATGAGTATATCACATTTACATCTTAGGTTTGCGATTTGTACTTCTGCATGATCCTAGTTCAACATTCTCGTTCAGTTACTCTCGAAACAGCACGCCATCGTACAGGAGTGCACGCGCCGCTGCGCACATGTACACAAATCTGTGTGCACAGCTGGGCACGCTGCAATGCGCTAGGGCTGGTTGGTATGCTGGTGCTAGGGCCGGCTGGCCATGCTAAGGCTGGCTGGCCACGCTAGAGCTGGCAGGCAGTCTAGGAGGCAATCTAGGGGCGACGTGCGTGGCAGGCTAGGCTAGGTGATGGTGAGCGGAAGTCCGGAACTAACCTAACCTATACCATTTCATAAGCAGAATGTGTGCTCTGAATGAAGTAGATGGGTACAAGTAGCAAAACCCCAACTTAGGGTACCGCATGTAACAAAGTCGTATAACAAATACATTTGGCACTACCCTACATGACTAGAAATAATGTGATGTCGAGCGAGAAAAGTCATCGGAGCGAGAAAATTTGAAGGGGCTCGTCTGATTGAGAATTGAGGATGGAATTGATAACCAAGACAGACATGTTTCCAACTTGGTGCCAGAAACCCTCGGCTCGTCCTGCACCATCTTGATGTGCACTTTGCGATATGAGCCGTGAACCATACAAATCCGAGTACGTGCAAGAGCGTATACTACACGTCCCTTTGTTTCTTAGCTCTAGGCAAGGACTGTGCTGGCAAAAGATGGCAGTGCCTTGGCGTGCAAAAACTGGCAGCGGCGCCAACAACCCATGAGACGATATAGTTATGGCAGCATTTGACATAGAAATTTAGCTAAGAGTTATCATTTTTCGCCAACAAAGATGCTACGAACATGAGTGCAACACACTCATATTTCACTTATGGTAACACCCCCCCTCATTCCCGACCGTAACAAGTCTTGAATCGCTTGACCACGCCAATCAGGTTCGCGCGATGTTGGTACTGCTGACGAGGAGCTCGCTTCGCGAGGAAGTCAGCTGCCATGTCACCATTAGGGCAGTACGTGTCAGAAACTAACGAGCAGGAATGAATGAACTAGCAGCAGGATGGGTACAAGTACTAACCCTAAATTGGGTTGTACCCCATATGGGCTACCCCACTACAGCTTACACAACATGCAACATATAAGTTTGACACGCCCCCATAGGCAAAGTGGGGGAGAACAAGAGGGCACAAGACCAGTCAAGAAAAGCAAAGCAAGCCCAGGGTGGATCACGGAGTCACCACACACTCTGAGCACAACCACAAGGCCAGTTCACATGCAGAGTTAAATAATGGAGAACAAGCAGTACAACAATCAAAACCTAGCAAGTACAAGCAAAGTCAAGAAGTGAGCAGGTGAGGCCAAGTAGCCACAAGGACTAAACAGTACAGAAACGCTGATGAACACAAGGCTGAAGTGCCTTGGTGAAGATATCAGCAGTGTTGGCCCGAGAGGCCACGTAAGCAAGATGAAGCTGACCACGCTGCTGCAACTCTCGAGCAAGGAAGCAATGCATAGCGATGTGCTTCGTCCTGTGCTCCAGTCTGTGCTCCTGGCACAAGGCAATCATGGCCTTGTTGTCGACATACAGAACTGGAGGAGAACGAGGCGGCTCTCCCAAGTAGGTCAGCATGTAGGTAAGCTAGTGGAACTCTTGTGCAGCTATGGCCCACAACTAGAACTGAGAACAGAAGACGAGCGGGTAGACTGCCACAAAACGGAGCTGGAGCCAAGGCAGAAAGCGGGTGATCTACAAGCCAAAATAGCTGTGCAGCTCACCTAGGTCTGTGCACGTGTGTCTCTTCTGCAGCTCCGACTTCACTAGGGCCAGTCCCTCAGTGTCAGTAGTGGCAAAGACCAAGTCGTTGATGTACACGAAGATGTAGAATGGCGGCAGCGAAGTGTTAGTACGTAGAAACAACGACATGTCAGGAGTCAAAGGAGCAAACCCAAGAGCCGCAAGCGTCGTCCTCAGTGTGTCGTGCCACTCATGGGGCGCCTGGTGGAGATTGTAGCCTGGCCGCCGGAGGCTCCAATGGGTACATGCAGGAAACAACCTAGTGAAGCCAGGTGGGCGGCGCAACCAGATCTCCTCGTGTAGGGTGCCCTATAAGAAAGCTGTGCTGAAGTCAAGAGAGTGAAGCTCGTAGTCACGCCGAGCGGCAACGTGCAGCAGTAACTGAAGAGTAGTCATCTTCGGGGTAGGGGAGAATGTCTGGAGGAAGTCAACTCCCTGTCGCTGACTGAAGCCTCGTGCAACGTAACGAGCCTTGAAGGCAAGCGTAGAGCCCGGCGGCCGCTTCACCCTGAAAATCCACATGCCATCAATTATGTTCGCCCCAGGAGGGGGAACTGCATCAACGTAAGTGCCTGTGGACTTCCAGGATGCCATCTCTGCATCCATGGGTGTCTGCCACCAAGAGGAGTAGGGACCCGTGATCGCCTCTGCGTAAGAGCGCATGGTCGGAAGTTTGGTGCATCCGGGTCTCCTTCAGGTGCAATTAGCATGGAAACGAGATGAGGTACAGCAGCTTCAAAACACTGAAAGTCCTCCTGCTTGTCTTCAAGGACGTCCGTGCCAAGAGCACTCTCACCCCCGACGGACGAAGGACAGACATACTCAGATGTAGCAACAAGACTAGTGTGAGGAACAAGACGACAAGCGGCAGCAAAGTCAACAAGCTCAGCAACTAGGGCAGACGCAGCAGTGGAATCAAA